CTTTGGAGAGGGACATCATGCTGGGTAGAGTGGAGGGACAGCGCAGGAGGGGAAGACCCTCTATGAGATGGATTGATTCAGTGACTGGGGTAATCCGGATGGGTTTGTCAGAGGCAATGAGATTGGCACAGGATAGAGCACGGTTTACGGCTGTTGTACATAGGGTCGCTATGCGTCGCAAACTACTCGACAGCACATAACAACAACAACAATCCCATATATCTTTCTTCAAGGCCCATTTGAATGTTCATGTACAGGAATGAATGGGAAAAGGCCTCTGGTGGCTTAGTGGGTACAGAGTTGCACTGATAACCCCACAGGTGGTGCCTCCCTATTGGTTCAAATCTGCTAGCAGCATCTTGGAAGAGAGATGGACAATATCTTCTCATCCCATTTAAGCTACTAGAGAGTCAGCTGTGATATGGTTCTGACTCAACAGCAAGGAGTTTGGTTTGTTTTGGTTAATTTGTTGTTGGGCTTTTAAAAAATGTATTTTAACACAGGCACTTTAGAAAAAAGTCTTGACATTGACTCCTCAAAGGTCTTAGCCACTGAAAACCCTGTGGAATGCAGCTATACTCAGATGCATGTGGAATCACATGAGCCAGAGTCAACTGGACAACTGCTGGTGTTTGTATCCTGATGCTCTTGCTCACAGTGCTTCTGTTTGTTTGTCTTTTGCTTTTATATAGGAAGAACCCGGATCTCTGAATCTGCCTTGACCGACTGTTGCCTGAGGAACTGTGTCTCACCCTCTGGGAGCGGTTGCCACTGCCATAGTGGGTCCTCTGAGAAGTCTCCACAAGGGCTGCATCGTATATCTGCAATGAGTGAGGCCCTGGGCTGGACCATGGCTTTGCCTTGGTGAACAAAAATCCATTCCTGGCCTCAAGGCGTTCACACACAAGATAAAGATGAGTGAAGAACAGTGGGTCTCCCTCACTCCAGAGGAGTTTGACCAACTCCAGAAATACTCAGAATGTGAGTAAACAGATTGATCTCCTGTGGGGCTGGCTTTACTCTCGATTGAGGAGTTAATTTTCTGCAGTGTAATCATTGCATAATCTTGAGAAACTTAGTGTTAGCTGCACGCGGCCTCTGGCTTCTTGAAGAGAGGCAGCTTGTGGTGTTCTTTTTGCCCCAAGTTTGGGTTGGCAGAGCGGACTTACCAGATGAACTGGGGGTCTCTGGCCCAGAATTTGCCAGCATTTGGGCATGCTGGGATGGATGTCTTTCATTGCTTTTGTTCAAACATTCTTCTAGGTCATATAGCCCTGGTGTGTCCACTTGCCATACAGGAGTAACATGTGGTTGCTGTGAAGCTACACACTGATGTGCCAAATGTATTAATGGTTACCCATGGCAGACAGTGTCTGGTGGAGCTCCCTGAATAAAACAAGCTTGGAAGCAGGAGTGGCATCCACTTCCGTAATAGCTTGCCTCCAGAAACCCTATGAACCTGGAGAGAGGATGAAATACACACAAGTGTTGAGGACTTTCGTTCGTAGGGTCACTATGAGTCGCCCATGACTCAACGACACTTAACAATAACAGTCATTGTAGATAAAAGGTTGAGCTTGGTAGCATGCATTTCCTTATAAACCCTGAATTAGTGTCTTTGAACACAAAAGCATATTTATTTTTAGGTTCTATAATTAATACAAGTTTATCATATAAGTTTAGAAGATAAGGGAGAAAAATAAAGAACTGTATATAAATCCTAGATAAGTTCTATTCACATTTTCTAGAGGCTCTTTTTTATACATAGTTTATGCACTACACATTGAATATCTTTTTTTTTTTTGCTAATATTGTTAGTCATTAAAAACTCTTCATAGCCGCACGTGGTAGATTACAATATGGTTTGGTGTTGTGTGGTGTTAGGGGTTGTTTGTTTTTTTTTTCAATTTGGCAAAATAAGTTTTACTAAGGTTTATTAAGGCAATAAAAGAGAGGCATAGCTAGTGAAAGGCTGTGCAAAAGAGTTAAAGTGAAAAGAAAGGTAAGGGAGAAAGGATTTCCAGAAAGACAAGGGTGAAATCAAACCTTAAAGCATACTGTCAGCAGAAAAGGAAAGAAAAAGCAGATTACAGTGAACTCTTGTGCTTAGATCCAGTGGTGTCTTTCAGTAATATGCCAAATTCTTATATATTACTTTTTCTTAATTTTGTTCTGAAAAGGCATTGAGTGTCTGCTTGGGGCTATTTGTTTCCCATTGGCTGTTTCTAGGGACCACCTCAGTGGTGGTGAGATTACTCAGCTATGCCCACTATCATGTTGTTGTTGTTATTGTTGTTGTTGTTGTTAGGTGCCATCTAGTCGAGTACAACTTGTAGCAACCCTATGAACAAAAGATCTGAACCCAGTCCTGTCCTTTGCCATCCTCACTCTTCCTGATACACAAAGGCCCATTGCAGCAGTCACTGTGTCAATTCACCTGGTTAAGAGTCTTCCTCTCCTTCGCTGACCCTCCACCCTTCCCAACATCATGTCCTTCTCCAAGCAATAGCCCCTCCTAGCAACATGCCTGAAGAATGTGAGGCAAAGCCTCGTCATTCTTGCCTCCAAAGAGCACTCCGGCTGCACCATCTTCAAGACATATCTATTCATTTTCTTGGCCGTCCATGGGATGTTCAGTGCTCTTCTCCAATAGCACAGCTCAAAGGCATCTTCTTCTGTCATCCTTACTCATTGTTCTAGTCTCAAATTGCTGTCAAATCTGCCTTCAGCTCACGGCAAGCTCATACACAGCTGATCAATTCATTACCAGTTCTGTACCATCCCCATGGTCAACTGTGGATTGCACCGCTGTGATCCAGAGAACTGTCACTGACTGAAGTCTAGAAGCAAACAGCCGGGCCTTTCTTCTTCGCTTTCCTTAGTCTGGAAGCTCTGCTGAAATCTGTTTAGCCTCAAAGCAACACACAAGCCTCCACTCACAGAAGGGTGGTGACTGCACGTGTGATTTACTGGCCTAAAACTTTGCCTGGTCTCCTGCATGGAAGGCAAGAATGCCACCACTCAAGCCCCTCTCTCTTTATCCTTCTGTCTTTTCTTAATCATTAATTTTAACAGGAATCTGCCTGACCTCTGGCTTGGCACTCTGTGCACACGTGCCGAGTGGCATTTATTGTGCAGTGGCATGAGCTTTCTACATTTCTGCCTGTCTTACAGAGCACTTAGGCTTGCTGTCTGCTCCACCCTCTGTTTAATCACCCTCTCCATTCACATGACTCTCCAGGGAGCCTTCATAAACCACCAAGCCTGACACCTGTCAGTCTACCTTCCAGAGCTCATGCAGGTGCCTGTGCATTTGCCTTCATGACAGCCCCTACAACCCAGCCACCAGCCAGGCAGCTCATGTGAACAGCAGCACTGGTCTAGAAATCAGGATTATTTCCTTTGCTGAACTCTTGTTCTGTGCCATGTACCAGCCCATAATACCCCTGAGTCTCAGTATCCTCTTGTGTAAAATGAGAGAGAAAATAGTGATCTGTCCCCAGTGGTCCTCTCCAGGCCATTCTGTGACTTCATGTGCTCCCTAAGATAAAAAGGAGCCCCTAAGATTATAGGTTAGTTTTCTTCCTGGGACCTTTTCTTTGATGGGCTTTCTGGGACCCTGCGAGCCTTTGATGATTTAGAGAAACTCTGTGAAAAGTATTGACAAGAAACAAGGAATCACCCTCCAGGGTAAATTCAATTTAATTCAGCTTGCTTTGTAGGTCAGCAAAGTACCAGGCCCTGTCAGGGATGAAAAAGAAGCCGAGAGAGAAGGCCTTTCCTGGAGGAATCAGAATCTTGTTAGAGGTCAGAAATACACTCCTGACCCTGGCAGAGATCAACTTTGAGGTAACAGGCAAATGGCTGCTAATAGAGGGGGCACACATGAACACATAAATGAGAAGGGAATTTCAAATCGGGAAGGTGGGTCTGGTGGGAGGACTTAGATGGGCAAAGTTTATGAAGGAAAGAAGTCTGAAAGTTGTACATTAGCTTTTGAGTTTTTTTGCATTGCCATTGAGTTAGAACCAGCTCAAAGCTGACCCTCTAGCTGGTTTACGAGGCTGTACATCACATGGGACGAGACCTGCCCATCTTTCTCCCATGGAGCCACTGGTGAATAGAGGGAAACAATGGAAGGTCAGGTAGAGGGCCACGGAGGAAGAGACTGTTTCTAATGTGATGAGGAGAGCTCTCTGCTAGAATGGATGGAGGAGGATAGAAGAGGCTGGGACGGCCTCAGGGCATCAAGGTGTGGGTTTGGGGTTGAGGTAACAAAAGCTAAGCTTAGAGTCATAAAACTGGATGCTGTGTACAGAGTGACTCAGACCAGGATGCTGTCAAATTAGGATGATCAGACAAGGTCTTTTGGATGAGATCTAGTGGAACTGAAGAAATAGAAAAAGCTGATAAAGAGCAACAGTGAACAAATGCTAAGTTTTTAAAAAATTGTGGCAGAAGGATCATCTTTACTAATTGTTATGTTGCTTTTGTTATGTGCCGTTGAGTTGCCTGTGACTTGTAGTGACCTTGTGTACAACAGCCCTAAACCCTGATCTTAGCCTCTGCCAATCTCACTGTCTGTGACACACCTACCCCCCCATTACCCCAGCCACTTCTCATTGAGGATCTTCCTTTCCTGAACTGTGCCTCCACCATCCCAAGCATGACGTCCCTCTCCAAGGCCTGGTTCCTCCTTGCAACATGTTAAGACAAAGCTTCAGAATCCTTACCTCCAAGGAGCAGCCCAGTTTCACCTTCTCTAGGATGAACGTATTTGTTCTGCTACCAGTCCATGGTATTTTCAATAGTCTTCTCCAGCACCACAGCACCAAATCTTCTATCCTCCCTAGTCATTGTCCAGCTTTCTTATGCATAGCAAGTGAGTGTAAAGACCATGGCCTGGATCAGGCACACCTTAGTCTCTCTTCAGTACTTTAGAGAGGTCTCTCAGAGCAGACTTTCCCAATGCAATACATCTTTTAATTTCCTGGCTGCTGGTGCCAAGCATGTTGATTGTGGAGCCATGAAATGGAAGTTGTCAACAATCTCAGTCTCTTCACCACCTATCTTGATGCTGGCAATCGGACCACTGGTGAGAATCTTTGTCTTGATTGAGCTTCAATCAATATTGAAGACTGCAGTCCTTGACCTTCTAGAACAAGTGCTTCAAGTCCCCCTCAGTTTCAGTAAGCAGAGTTGTGTCATCTGTATGACTCAAAATGTTGATGAGTCTACCTCCATTCCTAATGCCACATTTCTCCTCATAGAGCCCAGCCTCCTGGATAATCTGTTGTGCATATAGATTGAAAGGTATGGAGACAGGATGCATCCCTGGTGTATACCCTTCCCAATTTTGAACCATGCAGTATTTCCTTGCTCTGTTATATACATTTTTTTTTTCATTTCTAAATATAAATCTTAGAGTTCCTTAAGATGACATCAGAAATAAAACCCAACTCTGATATCAAGTGTGTTTAAAAAGCTGTTTCAAAGGCAGAGAAACAAGCAAGAGTGTGGCAGTGAGGAAGTTTGAAGATGGAGAATTGTCCATTGAAGAATGGAGGAAAAGAGAGAAAGCAGCTGGCGAAAATGATCCACAAAAATGCATACCACCTGTGGTTGGTTTTAGGTGCCAAGCATAATGCCCTTCTCCAAGGACTGGCTCCTCCAAAAAACATCCCCAAAGTATGTGAGACAAAGTTTCACCATCATTCCTTCCAGGGAGCATTCTGGCGGCACCCTCTCTAAAACAGACTGGTTTGTTCTCTTGGTCATCCATAAGATATTCAGTACTCTTCTCTAACACCACTCAAAGGTATTGATTCTTCTTCTGTCATCCTTAGTAATTGTCCAACTTTGAGATAGATGCATGGCAAATAATTGAGAACACTATGGCTGGTGTCTTTAAAATACACCATGGATTTTAAACTGACATCATTGCTCATTAACACTTTGGAGAAGGCAGACTTTTTAATGAT